ATAGGTTAAATAGGCTTAGTTACTAACACGCATTTGTTATTGTTTATGTGGTTAAATGGTTCATGATGTTGCTCATTACCAGTTTTATTTTACCTATGTATGTAAAAAGGTTTCAAAAATAAAAACAAAATATTTAGTTAAAAATTAAATATTCTTTGAATACATTTTGTCATTTTATAATTAGACTGTTTATGTCCGGTAATCGATTTCATATCAAATTATGATAGTTTTTTTACTGAACGTTGGTGTATGATGAGCCATGATCATTTTACAAACTTCATATTAACGATGAAAAAATTGCACACTGAAAAGAATTATGAAGTTAAATCTGAAGACCTGTAAAATAGTTTCTAATATTTCGTTACATAAATAAAAATATAAAAATACGTCGTAGGGTAATGGAGACGGGTGCAACCACTGTTATAAATAATTTAATGTACACTTGTAAGCAACGATAAACCATTTCTTACGAAAAAAACGATTCTGTGCGTAGTTCAGTAGATAATGATGCTTTGTCAACAATATATATATTTAATTTTATAGTAAAATAATTAAACAGGCTTAATATATTTTCTTTAACAATATTTGTTTAATGTACCGACTTTCCCAATTTTCTTACGTTTTTCCCGGTTTTCCCATGTTCTTTCCTGGTTTTTCAAATTTGATAAGAAAACTCTGAGGAAATCAAAAAATGACCTCCTTAAAGTATTTCTCCACACCAATTTTCTTTCAGAAAAGGTGTTCCACTTAGAAATCTGAGCATGTCTTCTGGTAGAAAAGTTTTTAACAGATTAAAAAAAAAAAAAAAATATCTGGTATAAAAATGGTAGGTAAAACTGTGTAAGAGTCTAGAAAAATAATTTTTTTGTAGCAGCTTTTGATTGGTCGAATCTGATTAATTTTGTGCATATAAAATCGCAATATTTGTTGCTTAAATTGATAGACGAGCGTTTACCCAACAGTTTTTTTTTGCGGAAACACTACTGAATATAACCTTCCTGCTGTTTACGATCTAACTCCGTTGAAAATCATTAAGTGTAATGAAATATATGCCAAATGGCCACTATGAAGTTGGAAGAAGAAGAAGCGAATTTTTTTTACACACTGAAAACTTGGCTAACGTAAACCACTATTCCCCCTCCCGTTGTCAACACGATAATAATAATATCATTATTACTGTGTATAGCAAACATCGTAGAATATGCACGCGACCAATTGCGGATTTCGCTGAACACGGCAAAATTAATATTTAAAAAGTCTCGATATGGGTACTGGGTAGCTAGATAGGTAAAGCTACGGCAGGTAATACAGTTTCGAACGAAACCGAAACAAATAATAATAATAGCGGAAGAATATGTAGAAAAAAACATAGTTTTGTGCAATATTGTTACTGCAGCTATACTTATGCGACTGCACGCATTTGGCCTGTTTAAAAAATTTAAAAACTCTCTCGACTGTAATATTACGCACTTCGGTATTATTATACTGGAACTGGATTATCGCAGGGGTGGCTGCTTCGGACTGCGAAAAAACGGATCAATATTAAACCTTTTTTTTTTTTTATTATTATTATTATTTTATCGAAAAATGACATGGCACCGTATAATATATAGAATGAAATTATTCTACCAGACAACGGCGGCGGCAGTGGCAACCATGAGCGACGGTTGCGAACGCGATTATTTTCGCGATAATCATCAATTTATCAAAACTGTCATGTCGTTTAATCCAGTTTTTTAAAAACATCCGACCGGAGAGGTGGTGGCGGTTTTTTTTTATATTTTAAATATTATACTACTATATCGGGCAGACGTTGTTGTGGTTGAACGAAAAGCGCGGCGAGGTGTTGTTCCGACACGTCGTATTACAAATTATAATATTTGTATGTATATAAAAACGGGGTAAACGCAAAAAGTCCCCGATTATACGACGACGTGGACGCCCCCGTTAATATTTTTTAACGAATGTGGACAATTCTTGTTTTTTTTGCCGATTTGCTTATTCAGTTTATCAACAACGTATTCTGCAGTAGATGTGAATCGATTTTTTTCACAATAACAGTGTTTAACATAACTAAAAAATATGTATAAACAGCTTAAAAACGAAACACAATCTAAAAGGTTTAAAACAATCTATTTGTTACATATATGTCATAAATTCTCTTTTAAGTCTATTAACTTCAGCGCTACTGAATTCTGCATAATAATATGTACTGTAATAGCTGCGCTAACCTTCTATGTAATTATATACATCATTGTCACTATGTTTCAATATCCGGTTGTGTTTATTCGGTATCAACTCCAATGGATTTTAAAGATCATCTTAAAATAATTACTGTTTTTGGCTTTTTAGATCTTTTAATATCTCATTTGTATTTTAAATTCTATTTAATTTTCTTACATTCTAATTTGGAGAGGAATGCATTGGTTTTACTTGGATATATATTTTTCTGTCTGTAAACAACTGTTCCACCAGAAATCTTACTTAGAATCTGATTGTAATAGGTAGAAAATTATGCCTGGTAAGTACCTGTAGGTAACCTGGTAGATTATGTATAGATCATTTTTAGATTCTGAATGGAACAAAGAAGCTTATAGGCTTACAATGATGTTTTTTTTTTTTTTGTTTTGTGGACAACTTTTCTATCAGAGATCTTCTTCTGATATTTATGTGTAGCATTTTTTCTGAAAGGAAATCGGTGTGGAGAGGTACTTTAAAGACGTTAATTTTCGATTTTCTTAGGTGTTTTCTCGTCAATTGTGAAAAACCAAAAAAAAAAATCAGAAGAAAATTAGAAAATGTACGAAATATATTAGTAAAATACAAGAAATATATATATAGGTATTAATTAAAATATATTACAATACTACTACCAGCAATTTTACTCTAATTATATGAAGTTACAAATCAAATGTAAATAAAATTAAAATTTGAGACCGTTAAAATATCCGTTTTATCTTGTATCTAAGTAGAATATTTTAATAAAGTGTATTAATTATCAATCGCAGACGTCCAAAACGTAACACGACGGGTTATGTATTTTATTGACGTTTTCCTTTTAAAAAAAAAAAAAAAAAGGGGTCTTTATATTATTTATGTATACCACGTATTGTCCGTCGCATCGCACAGCAACAGCTTGTGTCGGACATATTGCGTACATAGTAGGAGTATACCGAGTATACAAAAATTGTATTGGTTTGTTTATTAAAATCAATTTAAACCTAACCTATGCAATTCTATCTGACGATTTTCCGGGTATGCATAACATACACATTAAACAGCTTTGACATTCGTCACGTTAAACGATATTAATTATGCAACAGAAATACGTAATATACCTAATGCTAACATGTTTATAATAACAATTTGTAAACAAAAGGTAGGCAACATTATACACCTCCCACTATAAAAAAATGTTTTCAATACTCGCGCTCGTTGTATAATTAATATTTAGGCGCGTAAAGACGCGGAGTAATAGATTGATGATGAAAAACATTATTAACGATACTCATATTATAGTAAAAAAAAAAAACGGTATTTTGTATGTTAGACAAATTTCGTTTGATTCGTTAGAAAATCGGTCAAACAATTGTATTTTTAAATCCGTAGTCGCTATTTGTAAGTCTGTTTAAAATGATATGTTTTTTTTTTGGATTCAATACATAGCGAGGGATCTATTGGATTTACTATGTGCGCTTCTTTTTGTTTCTGTATATAAACCACTTAAAAAAAAAAATCAAGCTCCGATGTAGAGAGTATAACACCTTTTTTGAAAGACAATTTTCTTTAGTCGGTGCATTAATAGAAAAACAACTAAAGGAGCTTTTTTGTTAAATTTTTAATCATTTTGATAAATAAGTAATTCGTTTTTTGATTTTCATAGTAGATTTTATAATAATTGAACAAAATCGAACACTACGTAAAAAGAACGGGGAAATTTACGAAATTAATGATTCTATTACTTTTTCAAATTTATTATTTGTTGTAATCCCGTTAAAAATATTTGTAGACTTGGATATTTGGAAATTTTGACAGAAAACTTTTACTTACTTTTTCGAGACGTAATAAAATTTTCAAAAAAGTTAAGCCATTTTTGAGCCACGTTAAACGGGAACGTTTACAGAAATTACGGTTTCATTAGTTTTGATTCTGTTTTTTTTTTTTGTTGTAGTAACACAACATATTGTATACAGTTCAGTTAATCTTCATAGTATACAACTTCTGACTGCATAATTCGTATGGGACTTAGTCATACAGTGGGTTATTTATAGTTACCTATTTATCTATTGTACATAGTATACACGACCCATTGAGCCTTAATAGAAAAAAAAATAAATACCAATCAAAATTTTAACAGGCTATATAAAAACCGTATACGTTTAATATTATACCTCAAGTATAACGAATAAGCTATTAGGTTTACTGAGTTTTTCTCAGAAAACTTTTTTGACCAGCAAAATTCTCCGATTTGTTCAGACAGTACCTTAAAAGATTGGGGGATTTTTGCCAGTAGTACTTTGTTCGAATATGCGTACATTTACAGATTTCTTACAATTTTTTCTCTGATATTTTAAAAACTGACCAGAAATGTCGATACATAGGTTTTATTTTTGTTGATTTCTGGGTTATATGGGCTATAACGGAAAAATAATTACGACCAATACTACTTCGCATATAATCGTTTTTCCGTCGTAATGATTTATCGCTGGTATCAGCACATACATTTAACTACCCTACATTCTGTAACATTCAAACTTCCTCCTACCAACTACAGTGGCCTACACGAATAATAAAATTATAGTACACAATAATATGGTTGTTTTTGTCATACACCTTAATGTAAAAATGTATTCTTTTTCGTTGCTATAGAAATCATCGTAGTTTATGTCGTCCGATTTTCTGTATAGAAATCTATATTTATATTTTATTATAATTATTGCGATTGCAGTTAATTTATATATATATATATATTATATTCATTTATTAAACGCGATTTCGACATGGTTTTTAAAGTAATCGATATTCTGGGCGGCATTACCGGCGGAATCGCCTCGACTCTTGTCGGACAACCGCTGGACACGGTGAAAACGAACATGCAATTATATCCCAACTCACACAAAAACATTTTCTCTTCATTGTACATGACTGGCCGACACCAGGGCATCCGAGGTCTGTATGCCGGTTGTGTGCCGGCTCTGTTAGCGAACTCTGCTGAAAACGCGGTTATGTTCGCTTCGTACGGTCATCCTCAAAGTTTGGCGACATGCGTTGTTGGGAAGGGCAAAAACCACAATATGTTTGCCAGAAGCGTTGAATCGGTTAGTATAAACGTCGTTCGTTGAATACCTACAGTTACAAAAGTTATGTCGTTAATTTATATACCGGATCATATAAATAATTTCAATACGATAAAAATTGTTACTAAGAAGTTATCACCTACATGCATATACGCTGCGAAATGCGAATATATCTATTTTCGTTAACAAAATTTAATTACATCTTTTCAGCTATTTACCTCGCTGGTACTTTGTCCTATCGAGTTAGTTAAAATTCGAATGCAGGGATACGAAGTCTTTAAAGAAGTACGTCCAAAACAGCCATCAATAAAGTCGGTAGTAAAACAAACACTAAAGGCCAATGGATTTAGAGGTCTATACCGTGGGCTGGAATGCACATTATTAAGGGAATTTGTCGGTAAAACGTTGTTCTTCGGATTGTATGAACTGTGTCAGAAATTTTTGGATCCAACCGGTGGACGAAAAGAAAAATCTGATCTGTTAGCTTCAGCGGCGTCCGGATCAATAGCCGGCCTAGGTATGTGGCTCGTGGCATATCCGATAGACGTGGTGAAATCGCGTGTCCAAATGTCCGAAACACGAACCGGGTGGCCGTTGATCCGTAGAGAAATCCAAAGAGCGGGATTTCGTGGACTTTACTCGGGATTATGGCCCACGCTTATCAAAATGATATCGGTCACTGGTATGTTTGTGTTAAGTGAAGAATTTTCGAAATCGAACTACCGGAAAACCTTGTTAGATATGAAGAATTTAATCGATCCGGAAAACAAATTTTTTTCGAGCTGCGATTTTCTATCTGGATGGTCGACAGGTTAGAACATAAATTCGAAGTAGAGAACAAAAAAACCGTAATAGATCGGATTCGTATTTTTATTTATAGGAGTTGTTGCTACGTGTATTGGCTATCCGATGGATACGATTAGAGTCGTACAACAAGTGACCAACGTTGGGGCAATCAAATCTATGCAATACGTTTATAACGAACAAAGGGTAATAGATTAAAATTGATTATATTATGGCTTTTATAACTGTTATTATTAGCATGTGACGACAGTATAACTTGATTAAGTGTAGAATACAACTAATGAAAACTGATTAATAAGACATTACTGGAAGTTGATGGGATACTGTAAAAACGAAATATAATAACTAATATTCTGCTTATTTTTTTTTTGTTTTAAAAGATTGCAGGGTTTTACAGAGGAATAATGTTTCCGATTTTATGTAAGGGCCTCGTAAACTCGGTTTTATTCGGAATCAGTAGTAACGCGATGCGGTTAATCCTGAAGTTCCGCGGTATCAACGATAATATAGACGTGAAGTTTTGTTGTGACACGAATTTGAACAAATTGTATTGGCACATTGATACGTTTATAGCCGGCTGTATCGGTGGATTTTTTTCAAGTGTGATAAACATACCGATCGAAGTCGTCAGAACAATATTGCAAACATCCAGTAATTAAAATACATATGGCTTTTATACTAGTGATATATAATTTTTATGCACTTTTTCTAAGGATATATAATTATTCTAGGTATATTGATAAAGTCCACTGAGAATCCGAAAAACTCGAAAAAATTCGAGCCCCCGAAAATAATGGGTCCATTTAAATTAATTGTCCATCGATACAAAACCGGCCGGATTCGTTCACTGTACAGAGGAGGAACATTATTGATGATGAGGTTTGTTTGTTAAACAGTACCGGCGCTTCAAACTGCTAAGCCCTTTTTATAATTTTTTAAGCGAGGCCCTTTCTTCTTATTATTATGTTCATACATAAGAGCTCCGATTCTAATATCTTTTTCAGTAATCTATTATAAAATAACATATTTATCAAAGGTGAAATATATTTAATACTGTTTAGGTGAACTAAAATCGCTTAGATACACTATTTAATAAAATAATCCATTATAACAATTTTTAATATATTTCGTACCAACTAATTATATAAAAACAAAAAAATGATTCAGAAACGGGTTGTAAATGTGTTAATTTATCCAATTCCCAATAAATAAATTAAACAAATTTTTGTCTTGCCTTTCCATTTCCAAATTCATTCATATAATCAAATCATATTTAATAGTTTCAGCTATATTTTTTTCGATTGATAATGTCGCGAGTCCAATTTGTCTATTTTTTAACGTGGCATTCCTAAGATAACTTTTTATTAATTTTAATTTAGAGTATAATCTTTCAATAGAAGCTGACAGATAAGTACAATTAGAATTATTCGAAGGGAAATAGTTATGTTTGGTAATGAGCAATTTAATATGTTCAATACATATATACAGAAAGAGATTGAAGTGCAATTGTATTATCTTTCACTAGAGATTTAAGTATTTGATGTTTATGATATAAATATCTTTGTTCTCGCTATTCATAAGATAAATATGAAGATCTTTGCAATATATATTTTATGCAATACATATTTTATTAATTCACTGTCTTCTGTTTCTTTAAGCTTTTAAATACGATATAGGAACTCAAATTTATCATTGTAAGTCGTAAACTGCTTGAAACGCAAGTTTAGCGAACTTAAATCTTGATATAATACTATTATAATAAAACATGAACTACGAAATTAGGTTTCACTATAAATATAGCAAGTACTTTGTATAAATTTGTTTTTTCATTTAAAACCGACAGCAGTTTATTAGTATTTAAAGTTTAGTCTTTGAATTATGATTTACGTACACGAATAATGCAACAATATTATAATATGCAGTCAGTAAAGTATAATATTAATAATATTTTTTCAATGATAATTTGCTTATCAAGAGTAAACATCACTTCTGCAGGGCTTACAATTTGCGTAGTGCCTTTTACGGATGCGCCGATTGGCACTGCCTTTGCGCCGGCGCTGATGTTAAATCTACAGAATACGAATTTGAGTTAATAGATTTTGATTTTGCAGAGATATACCTTATACGGGCATTTATTTTCTCTCGTATGAGCATTTCTGTTGCGTGTTGAAACAATTTTGGCATCATAGCGAAATCAAAAATGAACCAATGCCAAAATATATACAAATCGTTGCTGGGGGTTTAGCAGGTATGTCTAACACATTTTTTAACTTGCTTTTATATTCCATTAAAGTTTTTAATTTTTTAATTTTTTTTTTTTTTTTTTTTGAAACCGATTTAAATATATTTATGAATGATATTTTCAGTTGATTTGTTTAGAATTCTTATAATTTATTATAAAGTTGATCCATTAAAACCATTAAAGTTTATATGGTACTACCTATTATTTATTAATTAGGTGCCACTAGTTGGATTTTGGTGTCACCGTTAGACGCGATCAAAACTAAATTCATTGTGGACAGTCAACTAAAAAATCCGTTATACAAAGGCAAGTGGGACTGTGTGAAGAAAACTTATGCGGAAGGCGGTGTGAAGATATTTTTCAGAGGAATCTCGGTACTATGCATAAGAGCATTTCTAATCAACAGCCTAATGTTTTTAGTTTATGAAATACTTATGGACGTGTGCAGTGGTAGTGACAAAAACGACAAAGAAACGAATGAACCTGGAAAACACTACAAAAACCTAAAAATCGCCGCATCACCACAATATTAAAAAAAAAAAAACACTCATGACACCGTCCGTTTCTATTAGATATTGGTCATCTTGTACGACTCCACATTAACATTCTTCAGTCTTCTATTTTTCACTGTACTAGGTCTTCTTTATTTTAGTTACTTCTACCCTCGAATAGTTTAAAATCTTCCGAAGTCCGTATTTAAAATTTCTATCAGGTGATAGTTTCTCTTGATCTTGTCCATGTTGGTTTTTCGGCCTATTACTTAATATATTTCCATATTTGTGTGCGGTCGGGGGATTTCAATTCTAAAATTCTTACTATGTAGAAAACTGTGTCTCGATTTCAATCTATTATTCTATGCAGGGTTGTTTTTCGTCGGAATTACATTTTTGTTTTCTTCTGCTATAACTTTTCGACGTTTAGTGGAGCTATTATAATATATTGTTAAAAAGTATATTTTAGATTTAGCAGATTTTTTTTGTATAACTAGGTCATTTCCGTATTTTTTTACGGCTGTTTAATCACACGTGTTATCATATATTTGTAATGTCATAGGTTTTTTTTGTTCTCCTCTGTGCGTCTTCTGAAGACACAGCACCTACTTAAAAAAATGATTAATAAATATTCAATTGTCCATAAAACTGTAATATACTTGTATATAATAGAAGCCACCTATAAGACGTTCTTCTAGGGTTCAATTAAAAACAGCGTATTAAGCGGTAAATCGTACTACGCAGCAAAATCAATAAGTGACAAAAATAAAATGCAAATTACTACTACATTTATCATTATGGAATTTTTACATGACTTACTTCAAAATATTATCGAACCTGTAAGTTTGCTTCATGTTTTTTATATCTTTTAAACACAGCAAGTTCTTTAATTATATGCAACTTGTAAGATGTAACGTTTCGTCATTACTGTCAAAACGTACAATATTAATGTTCTTAACTTGTTTATACATGTATTTGTCAATGGGGTAATCGTTTTTGTATCTTTCTTTCTCTCCCTCCCCTTTTTTCGTATACAGTATGTTTATCAGTTGATGACATTTGATCAATAGTAATCTGATCAATGCTTCTGCCAATGCTTTACTTATAGCGATATCATCGCCAATTGTTGGAAACTATTCAAGCTATTTTGGAAACTATATCCAGGAAACTCCTAGAAATATTTTTAATATACACTGCTTTCCTCCACGACACAGTTATCACTCTTAACAAATTTCGCTTTCCAAAAACAGTTTTTAATGATCAATTTACAACTATTAAAAATTGAACGCACACAATTAAAAAAAAAAAAAAAAAGAGCATATCATAATAACAAACTATACAATGGTACAATCGTATAAATATATTATTGTAATTATTGTGAGTTATTTTTTTAAATTTATATTTAGATCATTAACATAACGTCTTATCCGGGAACATAAAGCGTATTATTTGGAGTGTCATACATGTGAAACGCCTATTTTCACGGGCGGGGCGTGAAGATTAATTTTAATTCAAAATCGAGATCGCTTACTAATTTTAGACTCTAATTGTAGAGCAAAGAAGCTTACGATTTTACAATGATGTTTATTTTTTTTTCTGTGGACAACTTTTGAGCCAAAAATCTTGCTCCGATTTATACATTTCGTATATTTTCCCGTTTTTCCTCGGAGCAAAACTGCTGGTAGAAAAGTTGTCCCTCAAAAAAAAAAAAATCGTAATACTTTACTAATATCTTTCGAACATTTTTCCGTTTTTTCTTCGTTTTTTATTCAGTTTTTCACATCTGATGAGAAAATTGAGAAAATCGAAAAATGACCACACTAAAATATCACCTCAAGAAAATCTTCTTTTAGAAAAGGGTCTACATTATATACATCAGAGTAAGCTTTCTGGTAGAAAAAGTATTCATATAAAAAAAAAAAAAAATTAAACATCTTTGTAAAACTAATACATTCTTCGCTACACTCAGAATCTAAAATGAAGCACACAAATCTGAAATCTTTTAATACAAATGTATATAAGTTTTAAAACAGTTTTATAATAATTTTAATATAAGAATGTTATTTTTAAAATAAATGTTGGTGTGCAGTAATTAAGTAATAATCTTCAACCTGTCTATTATACCATATATCTGAGTTTCAAATATAAAATTACTTGTCAAGTGCAGACATTAGAAATTTGAATAAAATGAACGGAAATACTTTGCACGATAGGTGAGTCGCTGTTGTAGGTGAGAAGTTGGGAAGGTAAAAGGGAAATTAAATTTATATCTTTAAACAACGATAAACTATTGCTAACAAAAAAACGATTCTGGGTGGAATTCAGTTGATATTGTGACTTTATAATACTAATATACCATGTAATTACAATGTGCTTTTCCATGACAAAAATTATTGTTTAAAAAAGATTAAAATGATAAAAACTTAAATAATAATAACAAACAATAAATAAAATGTTGCCAATGACAACCTTATTTTTAATCTTTCAATCTATTTTAACCTAAAGAACCAGGTTTTCCTCATTATATCGAATATTTATGAAAATTTCAAACATAACCTTTTTAAAGTACCACCTGGAGAACATTTCCTTTCAGAAAAGATGCTATACTTGATAATCGGATTAAGCTTTCTGATAAGAAAAGTGTTCACATAAAAAACAGAATAAATAAAAATATAAAAAAAATAAATAAAAATAATAATATCTTTGTAAAACTAATACATTCTTCTCTAAGCTCAGAATTTAAAATTAAAAAACGGGTTTTTAATCACTAACTAGATTAAAAATGCAACAACAAAAATGCATGATCCCTTTTCGGTTTTCTATTTGAGTAATATTTCTGGTAGAAAACATAGTTTACAATAATTAAAGCAATGAAATCGGTTTATTTGGCCTTTTACTCATAATTTTGTTTTCGATTTTTCCCAATAATTTCAAAACCTCTTAAAAAATTAAATGATTACCCGTTTAATGTACAAACTAGATAAGATTTTTTTTTCTGTTAAGGTGCCACAGTGTACTACACTGTACTACAGCACTACTATTACCTAACCTAACCTACCAGATTTATATTTCATGTATAGGAGTTTTCAATTCAATAGCAAATTTAAATAAACTCCAAAAGATTTAATAGACTTACGAAACATATCAAATAAAACAGAGGATAACAAACTTATGTCTTTAATACGAAAACATTGAAAAATCTCTTTTGAATTGTAGTTTTGTTCAGAAAATAGTGTATATTATAACATTATTATTACAACGATGCTGTGTTTTCCATTTCCTCCGCGTTAGCTGTATAAATATATCTACCTGCAGAGGGAAAACGAAAACACTCGATGACCTACTTTTACCGAATATACCTATATAATATATTTTTTTTATAGAGAAACAAATATTATACAAAGTTAATGTTATCAATTTAAGGCCCAAATAAAAAACGCAGATCGTAAACTTGCGAAAATTTAAAATACGTCGTATTCGTCATTAGATCGTCGTCGTGAGTGGAAATGATTTCATCCAAAGTAACATGGGTATTTACTGTCAATGACTACGATGAGCAATGAACGTTTCTCGGTATCAATTATACGTCCTGATTGTTCTGAATGTTCATCGTATTGACTGTCTTGGTGATTGAAACCACATCGCAAGAAGCACTTTTGTGCAGTTTCGGGCTTGACGCGGACTTGAGCTGAAGCCATCCAATACATAGAGTCCAAAACATAAATTGTGCTTGAATCACCTGCATATTAATCAGCTGTATTAGATATCGTCGTTTCGATATTATTTTGAAATTAAGATTAAAATAAGTGCCCGCTATTTTGAGGTTTTCCCTTTGAAAAGTAGTGAAAACGTCCCCGTTACCATCGGATACGTCTGATATAGGGAGATGACTGCTATTAGAAGGTGTCCGTTAAGGGAGGCTTCACTATATTATGTGCCAATATTAGGTGTACACATATAATCTATGCATATTTTGTAACGTAAATATTCTAGGAAGAAATTTTATTTTTTTTTTATTTATTGTAGTTAACAAAAAATGAATAATTTCATATAATAAATATCTAACAACTTAAAACAAGCATATGTAGATGATAAGAGAGCTACGTGATGAATAAATATTACAGTTTAGATTTTTACAAAGTATAAGACAGTTATATGAGATTAAAATATGAATACATTCAAAATCGAAGAAGGATAGATTAAAAAAATGACGGGTTACGAAAACCGTTTGGAAATAGAAAAAATATCTCCTCAATGCACCAACCAGATCCGAAATTCAACAAAAAATGTCTTCTGACGTTTTACGTCGCCGTACATTGGTTGTGTACGTTTTGCTAGTGAAAAAAAAAAAAAAAAATCAAAAAACCGGTACGTTTACTCGAAAATATGAATATTCTATTCGACGCTGCGGGTTTGTAAGAAAATAATCACCATAACATGTACACGCTATACAGGTTTATATTATATTATTACTGCTCAGATGGAGTGTAAACGAAAACGAGAAAGAAATAGGGGGAAAAAACACGCGCGATCATCGCGACAGACTACAACTAGCAACTCTTTTTATCGCGTTTTCTTTTTGTTCTCGTGCCCGCGCGTACCTACAGTTTTTTAAACGAAGGAGATAATTATTTTTTTTCTTCTCTTTAAACCGATCCGTTTCATCAATAAATAAATAATAATAAGGTATAGCGTAGTTGTAACAGCTATAATAATATTATAATAAAATCCACCGGAGCGTTAAAATACTGAACGCGAGCGTTTTTACTATATATCTACTTTAAAAAACAATCGATAAACTGCGAGTAGTTATAATTGTGTTGTTATACTATACATTTTTTATAATTTTAAGACGCGGTTACGCGTGGTAAGAGCATTCATTCAGAAAATATTTTATTACACTATAAGCTGCCACGACGAGTATATTATGTTTGCGACAATTTTACAGCAGAAACTGAAACGAAATCGAAAAATACCTAAAATTCCTTAAAATATTCTAACCTTAATCCTGAATATGTATTATTCAAAAACCGAAAAAGACT